GTCAGATTGCAGATTCCAGTAAAAAAGATCATCTTCTCCTACAACTGAACTCCTTGGCGAGTTGTTATAATGAGCCAAATGATACCAGTAGTAAACAGGAAGAGAGTGGAAACTCTACATCTCTGGAAGCCCCACCCCAGGCACCACCCAGGAGACGAGACAGAAAGAAATATATGCCACCAGTGAGTGAATTATGACTTTTTTAATCTGTTGTTATCACAGAAAAAAAAGAAAGAAATTGAGAATACTTTTTCATTCAGATATGTATTAGATACTAGAAATATCATGTGCTATCATTATGTGGTTTTAAATTGTTTTTATTCACTTGTAAACAAGAGCATCTTATTTTTGATGTCACATACTGGTAAGGTATCACCTACCAATTCAAAGTTATTGCCTTTAAAATGTTTATGAAAAACAAAAGTATGAAACATCTGTACACCCAGTTGGATTTCAGAATGCTGACATAGATCAAACCATTCAGATGCTCGTGGGAAGCTCTTCCTTTTAAGTGCATGTGAGGTTTCTTTGTGTGACTATGCTAAAAGGATTTTTGTTGAATAGTGCTTGAAATAGAAAATTATGGACAGCTTCTTTCATGTATATGTGTGGGTATATATATATACATTTTTTTGATGCATTGCTCATGTCACTTACATACCAATTTGAAGCATTTCATATAATAAAACTTAACATTTTAAATGTTCTACAGTTAACTCTTTCAAGATTGTCAGATACCAATAATGGCGCTGTTGTTATGAAGCTGTTACTCATGTTAATGGTATATTATAAGCAGTTCTTTTATCAGTTGTTTCACATAGTATGTAATTGAAAACAGTTATTTTCCCTGGAGAATCTTACATTCACTGAAGTGTCAGAATAAATCTTTTTCTTGTTGTTTATCACTGAGAAGCATTAGATATAAATATTTCTGCTACTACTGACTTAATCCAAGTCAAAAATACACACTAATATTGTCCTTGTGTACTCAACTTTACAGTATTTTAGTTAAATATCTAAAGTGCTTTCATTGCAGTATTTGAAGTTTAACTATAAAGAAATCTACCTAGAGATGACCTTCTGTGTGATTTATTCTTTATCACAGAATATTCTCCTCACTTTAAGCTGTGGGTGCATCACAAGAGTGATAGTCAATCCCTTAGCATGGATGATTGGTGGGAGGTGCTGCTGTCTAGCTGCCTTCCCACTGGTCAGTACTTCAGAATTATGGATTGTGGCAGATAGCCTTAGTAGTTTTGCCATAAATGCAAAATAAAAATGTATTCTTTCAAAGTTATTCCAATACTAAACATTTTGAGTTAGGTCAGTAGCATAAGTTATCCACATATTGAACTTAGATAGACTTGAGATTTTAAGATGATTTTCAAAACGTATCTAATGCAATGAGTTGGATACAAGTTTAACTTTTTTTGTCTTTGAAGTGTTGCTTTTCAGTGAGGATTCCATTTCGTTTTATTACTTTACATAATGGACTAATTTTAAACATGTTATTTCTTCATTGTAGGGTTTCACTGGGTTCCTTTAGGATTGACAGATGTCTTGCAGTTCAAATAGTTTATATTCAATTACAGAATTATTTGTAAACCTTCACAAAAATAGAATGAACTTTTGTTATTGCTAATGGAAGGATTCGGTTATTTAGTTACATTAGTATAAATATAAACACTTATAAATTAGGTCGTCAAAATATGCTTATCGTTGATGAAAAATTATTTAGAAAAACTTAGCATGTGATGTAAAAGCATATTTCCAAAATAATTGCCATAGAAATGAGAGGTCACTACTTTTAAAAATTGTCTTTATGTAAATATGTTTGTGTGCGTGTATATATATATATAGACATACACACACACACACACACACACACACAAATGCAGATAGAGTACTTGTATATCAAGAAATGAATATTTGGTGTAAGGCACTAAACTGACTATTGCTCTAGCACAAAGCGTTTATAAAGTTTGTAATAGATATCACAATTAGTTTTGTTTGTTTGTGTCTGTAGAAACCAGTATGTAATGGTCTTCCACCAACACCCAGAGTTCATGTAAGTGCCTTTGTTACAGCTAATTATTAAATAATAAAGGTATTAAATTTATGACAAATGTAATAAAGTAAATAATTATACCAGTTATTTACAATTATTTTTTTTTCCCTTGTAATTCAATATAACGTGCACTAAATTTGATGGCAGTATTTACTGATGATTTTTATATTGTTTCTAAATTTTTAGGTGTAGAAATTGTTTTCTTGTGCTTTATATTAAACTGGTTTAGCTTACGGCTTATTGTTTTTTGTTTTATTTTGTGTCCATGGCACTTGGTTCATTTAAGAATTTGATGTAACTCATAACACAGACATGGTTGTTATTTTCCCAGTAGTTTATTGAGAAGGAAGCAATTTAGGGAAGTATTTTTAATGGTTTTAAGTGTTAAAGGCCTTGTAATTATATTGAATATCTTTTACTGTGAAATTTGGCTTTTGTAATTTTTACATTTCTTTATAACTGTAGATGGGTGCATGCTTCTCTAAAGTTTTTAATGGGTGTCCACTCAGGATTCACTGTGCAGCAAGTTGGGTCCATCCAGAAACAAGAGGTAGTATTAATTTAAAATGTCGTGTTCTTAATACAACATTCAAAGAATGTATTCTGCTGTGACAGTTAGAAGAGTCAAACTATTTTTTATTAATGTATGTTTATATCATCTGACTACTAACAAAAAAACTTCTTTAAAAACATTGTTTTGTGAGAGGTTTAAAGTTTATAATGTGTAATTCTTTCATTAACAGTGCATCTTTCTTAAAAACTAGCAAGTATAATGCTTTGAAGTGTCAGCCAGTTGCATACGTTTAAAGGATAAAAACTTTATCCTCAATTACACGAACCTCCTTATTGTAGCTAATAGGTTAAAGCAGTTTTTCTTCATAACATCCAATTTAACTTTATGAGCAGCATTTAAGCTGCTGCAAACTGTTCTTTGAAAAAGATAGTTTATTTTTGTAATGAGAAAGTTAATAACTAGTGAAATAAAGTCCACAGGTCAATGTTTTGTAGGATTTAATAAAAGAGAGAGGTTTCCACTTCTTTTTTTTATATGCAATTAACATGTACTGATCTTATTTTCAAACAAAACTTTAATTCCTTATAGGTTTATAGAAAACTCGTATAGATCTAGAACAGATGATAATGTTTCAAAGTTGTTTAGTTGTTGACTTGTTTCAATGTGAATAAAAGCTTAGAAAAATATTCTCTATCTGTTTAGCAGGTGCACATAAACTTATTGTCTTATCTTCAACACTTGAGTTGTAAAAAGTTAACAAGGGAACTCCTGTAATCCACTCACAGATGCATGTTAGTGCACTCGGGCAGTTGACAGTCGGAGTTTCAGTTTTTTTCTTTCTGTTAATAAGGGGAATGACATTTCATTCCATTGCCCCCTCAGTTTGAGCATGTTCATGTTTTCTGTTATCATAAAGAAGAGATATTATTGAATGGATTATGGCTTGACATAGGAATAGTCTTTTCTTTTTTATGCAGTGGTAGACAAAAACTATATATATTTTTTTAATTTCGATTTTATTTTTCTAATAGATTAAGTTAGTCTGATCTATGAAAGTAAATTATTGTTTTTTTTGTCATAAACATTTACGTTTTACTTGATAAGATAGAATACTAACACATATTGAATATTTGTTTATATTAACTTTTGTAACTTTCTTTTAGACCAAATCATTTTGTTTGGTTGTGAAGAAGGAATTTATACTTTTAACCTGAACGAGCTTCACGATGCTTGTGTAGATCAGGTTAGTAAAAGATTTTGTCATTCTTTTATCAGTGAAGATTAGGCAAAAGCACATACACATTTATAATTTGAACAATTTATTGAGCATACCACTGACACTGGAGAGAGAGAGAGAGAGATAAAATAACTTTCTTTTTTTTTCCTTTAAAAGTTTAAAGTATCGGAGATTGTGATCATAATTCAGTTTAACTTTGAAATATAAGTCAGTTTTCCATAAGGAAAATTATGATTTATTTCGAAAGTAACAAATCAAAAGAAGGCAGAATAATTCAGTTGTATTTGACCCTTTTTTGCTTTTTTTCTCTTTGAGATTGAAAAACAACTTGAAAAATCAATAAAAAAGTCTGAACTATGTGACTTTCTTACAATTAAATGTTTCTTGAACACTCCGAGAAGGAGAAGATATTTGCCACTTTCTGTTCTGTTGATAATCAACTAGTCATTGGATCTACACATCTGATAGCATTATGACAGAGAAATAGAGATGATATCTGTCACTTTCTGTTCTGTTGATAATCAACTAGTCATTGGATCTACACATCTGATAGTAATATGACAGAGAAATAGAGATGATATCTGTCACATAAATCATCCAAGATTAATTTGATAGTAACTGTCAACAAGCAAAGTTAATATGAAAACTAAACCTTGATTGATAACTCCCAACTGAAGGAAGAAAGACATCAAATTGCCCGTAGTGCCTCAAAATTGCAGAAAATTTACAAAGTTTTTAATTCGTGCTGCAAGGATGTTCACAAAGAGCATGTGTATCAATTTTTATCATTCCTAAGTAAAGTTATGGTGTTAAAACAGTTTATGTTATGAATTTCTTTATCCCTGTTGCATTAATTATGCATATGACATATATGACTGAAAGTGTACTTTCAGAGATTGTAACATCATAATTTTGTTTTGTACACAGCTTGAAGATTATAAGAAATGTTTAACAGTGTTTCCTTGACATGTAAATTTGCTCAGTTTTACGGGTCAGTGCTACCTTAACTCTTTCTCAAGTGTCTGTGTCTGATTAGGGTTTTTAAATTTAGTCTTTGCTTAAAAGCTCGTAACTTTTTCATAAATCTTTTTCTCTATTCGCGGTGTGTAATGTTTAAAAGCAGGCTTAGACTTTTACTAACATTTGTTACCCCAGAAACGTATACAACACTTCAATAATATGATTATAATGGCTTGAAAAAGTATTAAAGTTAATATCCCAGGGCTCTTACTAGGCTTCAAATATATGCATGTAATGAATTAAAAACTTTAATCAGTTTGTTTTCTGCATAATTTCACTGAAAAAGAAATGCATATATTTCACTAAACTTTGCCTTGTCTAGCTGAACACAAAATCACTGTGGAACCACTATGCTTGTGCTGCAATAATACATTGGAATGTGAATAGGGGTAACCAAAACAAAAGTAAAACAAACACAATTTTAAAGGCAATGTTAAATACCAAGTAATCTTGATATAAAGTTGGAAAATGAAATCAAGTGTTGAGTACCTAATGTAATTAGTATATAAAGTTCAGGCTCTATGTTTTTTCTTCATGTTTTAAGAACTTAGTACATAGAAAGCTGTTATAGTGCTTTATTTTTTGTTTTGAAAAGCTTTTAACAGGTAGAAAATAGTGTCATCTCAAACAAAGCTTTGCATATATGTGGCTGTGCATTTATAAAAACTATTTCAGTATAAAGCTACATTTTATGCTATGATTCAATAATTTATTGAATATGTATACACACACACACACACACACACACACACACAGAGAGATAAATATTCATTGGTAAAAAAAATGTTTTAACGATACATATATTTATTAACTTTAAATTTTTTTTTCTATTTCAACTTTTCAGTATATTTATTCACTTTAAAATATTTGTTCAATTCCAACTTTTCACTTGCATTTAAAAAATTTAACTCCCACATTATTTTGTCATGTAACAGTAGCATGATTGGTTACATCTTATGCTCCGTAGCAGAAGCTGAGTTAGTTTATTAAACTATCAAACATTTTTATATGAATTTTAAATCATTAGTATCTATATAGGTCAAAGTTTTCTTTTCTCTCTGTCACAAGTAAATGTAAAATAAATCGTGATGTTGATATTTTCACTGGTATTTTTGTTTATTATCTGGTATGTATGGAATAATTTTATCTTTTAAAACTTTAAAAAGAATAGAATTACTTTTCTTTAGCTCTATCCAAGACGAACAACATGGATGTTTATCATTAAAGATGTCTTGATGTCGCTCTCAGGTAAACATACGTTTTTCATATTTAACGATTTTTCTGTTAATGTACAAATTACCATCTCATTTTAAACTGATGCTTTTCAAAGCAAGCATTTAAAATGTCAAAATAATGTAGCCAGTGGTTGGAAATTATGGTTTTGTTTCAGGTTAAGATGTGAAACTTTTTAGGGGGGAGACATTCCACAGGACATTTTGAAATTTGTTATGTAAGACATTGTTTTGTACATGTGTTTAGGATAATTATTTAATGCCATACAGGATAAAAATTGATTCAGAGATGCCAGTTTGCATCACAAATTAATAAAAATGACTCATTTTAGCATGTATAATTTTAATATTAATTTTTTTGCACATAGATGAAAGAGTCTTAAAAAGTTTTCAAATAAAGTATAAGAGGTTAATTACTGTCGAATATTTTAAATATTGCACCATGCTAAATACGAAATATGACATACTCAGTCAAGGATAAAACAGTTTAGCATCTATTATTATTTGTTTTTTATTTAAAAAAACTTGGGTCATTGTTAGACATAAGTATTTGTATTCGATGAACATTTGAATCACCTTGATTGTCTAATGCATCATTGTCAGCTTCTATTCTGGGCTTGTAGCTGTTTAAAGTATATAACATATTATTAATTGAACAAATCAGTTTAACTCTCTATGCATGGACTTTGGCAGACTTTCAGTAAATGTTACAAGTCTTTTTTGTGCAAAAAATCCGATTTTTTAGTGAAGTATTTTTACTAAACTGAAAAAAAAAGATTTGGCCATGAATCTATCAAGTCTTTTTTTTGACTAGTGTGAGTGCAAAGTGATTTTCATGTTTTAGATTTAAAATACTTTTCATCATCTCATAAATCGAAAATTTTCTTTGCATAATCTCTAAAACCTCCTAAATACATTTCAGATGTTTTTGTTTTTTTTCAGTTAAACTTTATATTTTATATGTTGCTAGCTGAGTTACCCGGCATTGCATGGTGAAAATTTAGATTTGAAATGTATAGATCAGTATTTTTTCAGCAAATTATTCAGTAAGAAGACAAAAGCTGTAATGCGAGAAATAAAAAAGCATTTAATCAAACAAAGCTTTATTTGAAATTAGATCATATTTGAGCTTGTTTTGTTCTTTGAGCCTGAAGTCATACATCATGTTGCTCCTCTCTTTCTTTCTCTCT